AGCTCGGCGGTCAGCGGTTGGAGCGAGGTGGCGGTGGCGGCGGCGGCGGGGGGGGGGAGGGCTGCCTCTTGCCAGTGGACCCCTCGCCGCGGTGGACATCAGCCGCTGAGGGCCCCGCCCCCGCCCCGGCCCCCGGCCCCGGCCCCGGCCCGGCCCGGCCCGGCCCGGCCCGGCCCGGCACATGCGTCGCCCTCTCGGCTCTCGCCCTCGCCCCTTTCAGCCATCCCCTCGACGACCTGCGCCCCTTTGCTCGCAGGGCCCCGACAACCTGACCCCCGTCCTCACCGCTCCCCGCCCCGAGACCCTCGCCACCGCACTGCTCGCCGTCTATGCCAACCGGCCCCGAGCCCACCCGCCACCAGCGCCAACTGGGCCAACAGGGCCAGCGGCAGCAGCAGGAACAGCAGCCCCGTCGCCGCCGCCGCCGCCGCCTCCGGCGGCTGCTGCATCGGCCCCTGCCGCCCCTCTGGCAGCGCCCCCCTCCCCTCAGGGGCCCCTGATCGCCAACCCGACGCTCCTAGCGAACCTGCTCAGACGCAGCGCACCGCCGCCGCCGGCGGCGACGGCCGCCGGCGGCGCCGCCGGCGCCGACGGCGCCGACGGGCGGCAGCACCACCCGCCGCCGCAGCTGGTACCGCCGGCGTCGTCGGGCCGGCCCGCCGGCGGCGTTACCGCCGCTTCCGCCGCTGGCGGCGGCGGCGGCGGCAGTCTGAGCAGCAGCTCCGGCTCGGCGCTGGATGCGGCGGCGGCGTCGGCGCTGGTGCCCGTACCGGCGTCGTACCCGGTTCCGGAGCCTGGCGGCGGCATGGCGTCGTCGAGATCCTGGGGATCCCTCCCTGCCGCCCCCGTCGATGCTTCCACCCTCGGCACCACCACCACCGCTGGTGGTGGTGGTGGTGGTTCCACAAGCGGAGGGCAGCAGCAGGGGCAGGGGCAGGGGCAGCAGGGGCAGGGGCAGCAGGGCGGCGGGCGGGAGAGAATAGCGGATAAGGCCTCTCTGGCCTTCAACCGGCTCACAAAGCAAGTAAGCACGCTGCTGTCGAAAGACGCCACCGCCACCGCCACACCGGCGGCGGCGGCGGCGGCGGCAGCTGGCGGCAGCGGCGGCGGCAGCGGCGGCGGACAGCTGTCGACGTCGCCGACAGGAGGCGGCGCCGGCGGCGGCGGTGGGATCCTGTCGCGGCTGCTTGACGGTTCCGTGAACCGGGGTGGCCAGGCGGCGGCGGCGGCGCCGCCACCGCAGACGCCGTACCATCCCCCGGCCGGTGCTGAGGGCAGCAAATTGTCCCCGACGAGTGAGTGGGCGCATGGGAGGAGGGGAGGGAGGGAGGGACGGCGGGAGGTAGGGGATGACAGTCCAGGGAGGCGGGTTGACAGGCTGGGCTGGGCTGGGCTGGGCTGGGCTGGGCTGGGCTGGGCTGGGCTGGGCTGGGCTGGGTTATGTTGAGGCGGGCCCCCGCCTCCGGAGGATTGGGGGCGGGGCAGTCCCAAACCTCCGCGTCCTCCTCCTCCCTCGCGCCCTGCGAATCCCGCCCCCACGCCCCCACGCAGGCCCCTCAGGCCCGGCGACCTCCTCGCCCTCCTCCCCCTCCCCCTCCTCCTCGTCCGACCTGCGGGGCCCCCTGGAGCGCCTCCGCGCCGGCCTGGGACTGCCGCCCCTGCCCTCCACCTCCGCCACCACCTCCGCCCGAGTCAGCGCCGCCGCACTCGGCCCCGACGACGCCGCCACCCCCTGCGCCGACCCGGCCTCGGCTCTGGCGGCTCTGGGCCGCAGACTGGCGGCAGACAACACCACCACCACCACCACCACTGCCACTACCACCAGAAACGATAATGGTGGCGGTGGCGGTGGCGGTGTTGATGCCGGGTGGGCTGTGTCGTGTGCTCGGGCCCACCTGGCGAGCAGCAATCCGGAGCGGCTGACGGTGGGGCAGCTGGGGCTGGTGCTGGCGGACTGCCAGGTAAGGGTGGGGGAGGGAGGGGAGGGGGAAGCGGGATGGGGTGGGGTTGGGGCGCGGCGGGGGAGCGGCGGGTCTGGGTTGCAGGGACGGTGACGGGGCGTGTGTGTGCATGTGCGTGTGCGTGCGTGCATGTGCTCTCCCAACATTCCCCTACGTCCCTTCCCGTCCTCCTCTCCCCCTTAAACCCCTGTGCCCCCCTCCGTCCCTCCCTCCTTCCTTCCTTCCGGCCCCACCGCCACCAGACCCTGCTCAAGGCCCGCGCCACCCTCGGCTGGGAGAGGCTTGAGCAGGAGGAGCAGCTGGCGGCGCGGCAGCGCTCAGGTGACAGCGGCGGCGGCGGCAGCGGCGGCGGCGGCGGCGGGGCATCAGCCGATCCTGTGTCTCTGTCTTGGCTGGTTGCCTCCCACTCTCACTGGCTGGCGGGGGTGCGGCCGGAGGAGCTGCGGCTGGGGGAGGTGGCGAGGGTGATGGCCGCATACGGGGAGCTGCTGGCGGGGGCGGGGGCGGGGGCGGAGGTGGGGGCGAGCGGGGGGAGATGAGCTGTGCTGTGTGTGGGGGGGAGGGGTTCAGGGGGAGAGGGAGGGATGAGGGAGAGGGAAGGAGGGTTTGTGAACTTGTAATTGGCGGGAGGGGGTGGATGGTTGCGGAGGGCGGGGGGGGGGGGGGACGGGGCCGCGTGAGGATGAGGGGGCCGCGTGCGGGAGGCGCCCGGGGGGGGGGCTTTTGGCGCAACGTCATGCGTGTCTGTCTGGACCATCTGCCGGGCCACGACGGCCCCGACGGCGCAGCTGCAGACGCGACCCGGCTGCCGCACCCGGCTGCCTGCAGGCAGGGGGGCAGGGGGCTACCGTGTACTGATTAATGAGTCCAAGGAGAGCCACAAATTGCGGCGGGAACGTACCGGTATGTCTGTGTGTGCCACACTTTGTGGCTCGGGACGGAACTGCGCAGGAGAAGGCTGCAGGGAGGAAGGGCCCGCTGCTGCTCCATGAAGGGTAGAGCCAGGCAACAGCTTCCCCGCCAGCCCTCGGGAGCTCCTCGCCCACACAATTGCCGGGCAACGGCAACAGGAGACGCGCTGCGATAGGTCGTGTGTTCTACGCGTGTTCGGGGCTTGGCTGCGGGGTGGGGGTGTGGTGTGGGGGGTCGTGATGTGTGCTGGGTGGGTTTGCGGTCGCTAGCAAAGGCCTGGTGTGGGAGGCGTGTGTGCGGGGCTGAAGATTGACTGAACGAAGATTGGCTGCATGTTCGAAGGAGCGCGAGGAAGCGGTGGGGCAGGGTCCAGGAAGCGGACATGGCGCCAAACATGTCGGTCCTCGTGGTTTGAAGGCGCAGCCAAGACCGTCGCGCAGGATTGCAGCGTTCAGCTCTGCTGCGACGGTTGGAACTGTTCTCACTCGCCGCAAGACCGCAACCTTCTTCTGTTAGGCACAAGTGTGACTTGACTGTTATAAAATGGTAAATTTGAAAAAGCAAGTGTTCTAAGCCTCGCCAACTTAATTTACCCCGTAGGTCTGTACCACATAAAAGTCAGGCGGATGCCGGCATGCCATCGTAGCATGGTATTATACAAGAGTGAGGCGGGAGCCGGCAGTAGGCGAGCGGTTGGTTGACGGTTTCCACTCTTCTGGCCTTTCGTAGAGCTTGGCGATGTATAAAAGACCTGTTCAGTAGTATTCAGCTGTTATAATTGCCTGTGGTTCCAGAGCGCCTGGCACGAGCTTGCGGATAAAAGGATTCAACAAAGAAATCATCGAGGCGCTCGCGAAGACCCCTTCACGCACGCCAGGGCTCCCAGGTAAGGCAGCATGATGTTTTTGATAGTGAAATATCTAACGTATGTTTTAGTACCCTTTTCGTGTAAAAGGGGAATTTGAGGGTATAAAGTGTCGCGGGAAGTTATCGAAGCATTTGGCGGATCGCGCCCATCATCTTTTGCTGCTCACAAACTATTTTTTGTGTATGGCATCATTGGACGTGTGCCCAGGCAATGCTGACCGCTCCATGACCCTTCTCTCCCGGCGTGGGCGCCCTCATCCTTTTCGACAAAATCAAGCGCATGTCGAGCGGGGGCGAGTCAGCAGGTGCGCGAGAGCAGTGCAAAAAATTGCACAAAGCTGTGATTCATTTATTGGGATGCGAATTACGCATCGAACAACAACATGGGTGGGATGTCCGTCTCCCCCGCGTGATCTGCGTTGCCCAAACCCATCTTTCCTTGCCTCAAATGCACACCTTGATCGCGGGGTATTACACACAATACATCGGGTCGAACCTAATATGGCTCTATCTCCCCCTCGTGTGCCCGCGTGTATCACCCCGCCGCTCCGCCCCGTGCGAAGAAGGGTGCGCCGCCCTCAGCCGGCAGCAGTCGTCGGAGGAGGGGCTGCTCCCCGGCTTCCTGCGGCGGCTTTTCCGGAAGTTCCACAAGCAGTAACTCAAGCAAGAGCCAGCAGCAGCAGCAGCAGCAGCAGCAGCGAGATGAAAGGTCGCATTGGGGAGCCCACGACGTTTCTTCATGTACCGTACATGTCGAAGAGGAGCGCCGAGCGGCGGGCGGTGATGAGCGGCGGGCGGCGAGCGCCGGACGGCTGGCTGCTGATGCGCGCCTGTGGAGGACTGTGGGACGAAACGGAGTATGCCCGAGGGACAGCCGCCCCCTCGCGATCATGTGTGCTGAGCGGGGGGATTTGCGTACATAGCCTGTCCATATGAAACCATATTCACGGGGTACAGTTTATGAATTATGATTGTGTACATATTAGTTGTGCGGGGAGGGTGATAGCGCGCCACCCAAACGTCGCAATCAGGTGCGCGCACACGGCATAACGCCAGCGTGTGCCCCGTGTATGTGTGCGTGGGCGTTTGGGTGTATGCGTGGGTGTGTGGGCGGCGTGCGGGCGTCACCTTTAGTTGCGGTGGGGCGCCGTCCCGTTGATTGCCCCACGGATCGTCAACTTGCCTTGCTATATATTACTATATAGTAATGTTGTTTTAATTTCTGTCATCACCTGGACGGTTGTCTGAATGTACTGTACAGCACTCGTGCCCGAGTGGTCAAGGGGTCTGACTTGAATTCATACACGATCGATCAGATGGGATCTCCCGCATAGGTTCGAATCCTGTCGAGTGCGCGCTTGTTTGCTATTGCTTGTGGGAGGGGAAGTCTGCCTCCGGCCATGCTGTCAGGCAGAACGTCAAGGGCCGCCAAACCGCGCCGTGGGCCGCCAACTCATGCTGCTCCGTTCTGTATAACGCCTCGGTGCGCATTCGGTAGTGGAGCAAGCGCACACAGGCTTTGGAAATGGTGAAAAGCCTGCGCAGGCGTTGCAGCTTGCTGGGCGCGCTGGCCGGCTTGGCAGTTGGCACCGGAGCGCAGCGCGGGCTCACATGTAGCCTTTCACCTTTAGCAGTGTGTGTGGATTGCGTTTGACATCTTGAGCACTAATATGAAGAACTAAATCAGGCGTTCACGTTGTCTTGTTTGGGTGTCATTATAAATGCGTTTGTCGGCGCCACGAGTGATGTGAAGAGCGAGCCCGAGGTTCGGTGGCAGTTGGCGAGATGGCGACGGCTCTCGGCCTTCGCGGGGTCCCAAGCAGTGCGAGACCCGTCACAAGGATTCGCCTTTTTTGTTTGTATCCAGTATCAAAAACAGAAGCGCCATTCGGCAGGTAGTGTTGATACCGTAGCGGCACCGTTGCGACTGTTACCGCAGTGCGCGCGAAATATCGCGAAACCAAAGAGAGTACGCAAGGCCAGCAAGGAAGGCCAGGCGCCCGCCCCACCAGGCCTTTGCAGCGCGTCAAAAGTGGGCAAAGGTACCCCGTGTCCGTCGGATCTCTAGTAATAAGTCGTATCACCTGTAATAAGTCGTATCGTTGGCATTCTCCCGCGTCGGTCTGGTCTGCGTGGCCCCTTGCGCCCCATGCCCGGATGGTCGGGCGGTGGCCTGCCTTGTCCTGCCTTTGTCCTTTTGGTCTCGGCAGGCAGATCCCAGCCGCCCAGCACAGCACAGCACAGCACAGGGGGGTAAGTAGATGCCCGGCAAACCGCACTTCAGCACGCAAGTTACTGAACGAGCTGACACGTATGGGTGTTATGCGCGCAGGGCCATGTTTACGGCCTCGGGACCCTTCTCGCCCGGTGTGGCTGCCCTCATCCTCTTCGACAACTTGAAGCGGCTGTCGAGCGGCGGCGGCGAGAAGCCGGGTGCGCGAGCGGTGATGTAGCGCGGCTTTCCCGGTAGCGTTGTGTACCTGACCGGGCCTTCCGGAATGGCAACGCAACGCAACGCTTGTGTGACACCGTCCGATCGTGTCTTGTGACTCTCTGCTCACGGATGGGGGCGCGGCTGAGCTGTTCGGCGGCCGTCCACCTCCCTAACGCTTAACACTCCTGCCCCGGATGTCATCACTTCACGCCAACACTTCCGCGCACCCGAGTGCCGGGCCTGGCCGGGCGCCTCTGCCTCTCATACTTGCGCTCCCATGCCCTCCAAACTTGGATTGACCTGACTGAGAAGCACCATTGTGTGTGATCAAACTGCAAAACTGCTAAATGCTACATGTGACAGCCCCCGCCCCCGCGCCCCCAGGTGATCATCGATCGCTTGTCCCCTGTCGCCGTCCCCTGTCGCCGCTGCTGCTTGTTCGTTGCTTGTTAGTTCGTTGCTTGTTCGTTGCCTGTTCGTTCCCCTCCCTTCCCTTCCTCTCCATCCCCGCCGCTGCGTTTCTCTGCAGGCGCGGCCGCGGCCATCACCACCATCACCACCACCAACACCAGCAGCAGCAGCAGCAGTGGCAGCGGGTCGGCGAAAGGGGGATTCCTTTCGGAGCTCCTCCGGCGGATCTTCTTCCTAGCGGGCTCTCGGGCTGGCACTACCACCTCACGGGGCGATGAGGGCGATGAGCGGTGGCTGGAGGAGAAGGGCGCGGGGGAGGTGACGCAGGCAGGCAGGCTGCTGCTGCTGGAGTGCCGCTCAGCGTGAGGTGCTCGGCAGGACACGCATGGGGCATGGCAGACCGTGGCGGGGAACGCGCGTGGCGCCGTGCGGCAGGGAGGGCCAGGGAGTGCCAGGGAGGGGGCAATGGCGACGACGGGGATGATCCGTGTGTAGAGACACCGCCGGCTGCGGAGGGACTGTGAACCGCATGGCAGAGGGCAAGCCAAACTTCGGATGCTGCGATGACCACGAAGTCAATCGCGAGGGAGGGTGTGTGAGAACATGCCCGCCTGCCAGCGCCCACCAGTGCGCAAATGCTCGTGCGGCGACACCCCTGGTGGTACACTTGAGGTTTGCTACACCTGCATCATAGCAAAGCCTCCAGCCTTTGTCAGCCTTGACGGGGGGGAGAGTCGACGTCACCTGGTTCACGCCAAGGACGCGATGATTCGCGCCGGTTGCGGTGATTGTGGTTGCCGTTTTTCTAACAGTGGGGCTCCAAGAAGAGTGGCGCTAGCGGGCCGGCTGACCGTGCACTGCACCGCAGGCGACCGCTGTTGGTAACAGTATCTTTTTTGGGGAGGAACTGATGTTAATGTTGCTAATGAGTTTCCTTCGATTGTTGTTGTTGCGCTGGCCTCCAAATCTGTTCTCCCGCGTTGTACGAGTATGGGTACGTCATGTCGTATTTAAGGGCGGGCGGGGGCTCTGCTCGGATGCGGGCGGCGCCTACCGGTAGCCGTGCCGTGCCGTAGCTGCTGAGCAGCGCCGCCGCTGCGTTGCCGGCAGGGGCTTCCGGCAGGGGCTTTCGGGTACGTCCGTCGGGGCTGACTGAGAGGACACAGGGTAGTCGCGCGCCGCCACAGAAGGCTTTGCGAAGAGTCGGTGAGGAGGAGGAGGAGGAGGAGGAGGGGGTGCAGAGCGCCGCAGCACCGGCTGACAAGGTGTGTGCGGTCGTCGACAGATATACGGCGGCTCAAGAGCCTCAAGAGCCTCCGCCTAGGTTCCACACGAGCGCAGTCTCGGGGGGTCTCACACTATATAGTATATCATACATAGGTTACGGTACCACCCCTCGCCTTTGGTAGTCAGCAACAACGACACCCCCCTACAAATGTCGTCTGTAAATATCTACCCGCAAACAGCCACACCGGAGGAATGGGACCTCGCATGGCCCAACGCGCGCTTCGTTCCTCCCCTGGCAATGTTGCCCGAGCGCAGAGCGTAGCGAGTTCCACACAGAAAAAAGGGCCATGTGCCCCATGAGCCTCCTGCCCTACCCTACCCTGGGTTCCCGCACGCACACAAACATATCCACACACGTTCGAGCAAACCTACCACAACCTACCTCACAACACACAACTACTCAGATACGACACACGACCGCCGCATACGAGCACCGTCCATGCATATTGCCATTGCCTGCAGTACCGTGGCCCGCGGGTCACCCGTCAACGTGTATCGACCCACGGGTCACGTGCCCACCACCAAAGCGCAAACCCCTCCCAACGTCCCAAGGTGCTGCGGCCGTCTCCGCCGTCCTGCTGCCGCCACCGTGCGGACACACCTCCCGGCGCCCCGCCCCCCAAACTCTCCCTCCTTCCCTCCCCCATTTTGACGACACGCGCCGCGGGCCCCCCTGGCGGCAGCGCCAACCGACTCAGCAACCGTACCGCGCCGCACAACTCCCCACAACGCCACACAACAACCACACCATAAGCTACGCCACAGCCGAGCAAAGTGGCGTCAACGACGCGCCCCTGGGACTTCAACCCGGAGGGGGGGGCGCACTGCCCGCCTTCGGCTCCCTCCCCGTCCCCCTGGCATCGCAGCGGAGCGGAGCGAAGCGAAGCGGAGTGCAGCGAAGCGAAGCGCTCGGCGCGGAGACCGGACCGCCTCCGCCTCCCCAGCGCGAAAAGCCCCCTTCCCAGAAGCCCCTCGCTCAGGATCTCAGGCACAGCGACGCCGCCCTCACTCCTCCTCCTGCTCCTCCTCCTCTGACCCCGGCAGGCAGCGACCGACCCTCAGACTCGTTCATCAGCCCCGAGCCAGGGCCCCCCTGCCCGGGATCCCTTTCCTCCCCCTCGAGGAGGCGAGGGCATCACGTCGGCGGGCGGAGAGAGCAGCAAAGAGCACGAGGCAAATGGGGTCAGGGTCGGGGCCAGCCGCCTTCGCTCTGACGCCGCCGTCGCCGCGGCGGCGGCGGTCGATTGCCGGCCCCCCGCCCAAGACGGAGACGCCGCCGTAGCGCCGCCGCCGAGGCCCGACCGCTGTTCCGAGGCGCCTCAGAATTTGAGAGAGAGAGGGGACGACACGCCCCGCCGGGGATAAACTGGGTTGTGGCCCGCCAGCCTGCCCGTCCGCGCATCCACCTCAGCAGGGCCTGGCCTTCCCTCGAAGATTACGGGACGCCATTTAGGAGGTGGCGGCGGGCTGGGCCATGTCGTAGCTGTGGAGGGGGAAAGGGGGCGGGTTTGCGTGACGGGTGGGGAGGAGGGATGCGTCTTAATTGGGAGAAGGAAGGGAGCGCGCACTGAGTGCAGGCCGTGTCAACGTCCGTGGGTGGGGTGGAGCGGGGTGACTGGACGATGGTGGCGCCTGGCACCGCGGGGGGCGAGCGCGGCAGCGGCCCGGCGGGCAGGTGAGGTGCCTGCCACACCAGACACCAGACGCACCTGATCTTTCGGAACAGCTGGTACGCGCCAGTGACGGCCATGAAGGCATTCACAGCCAGAAGGTTGTAGTTGACCGGTGTGATTTGGGTGCTGTACCGGGACCAGATCACGCCGGTGGCCGTGATAGCTGCGGCACGCAGTGGGCAGGGGTGCGGTTCGCCGGTCGCAATCGGTGAGTGGAATCAAGAGAGACAGAAAGAAAGTGGCTTCGATAGTACTGAAGGCTCATATAGTCTGCTGGAGGACAAGTGGGGTTTCCCAGACCTGCTTCCGGGCATCCGGCGTGGGTTGCGACGCAAGCACGTGCTCCCTGGAGATGAATGCTGATCGCTACGTCCTAACGCATGTTTAACTCACCACACTGTTGTGGCAAGCTGATCTTATCGGCGGGGCGATCGAGGTCGGCGATGTTTGCCAGCGAGATGCCCCACTTGAACGTAGGAGCCCAGAAGTGAACTGTGGCGTCGGCAGAAGGACGACAACCGAATCCATAAACGAAATCTTTGGGATTGCC